AGTTCCATAAATCATCAAATACGCTAAACTGGACCCCTTTTCCAACATTAAGCTGTGCACACATTAAATCAAATCAATCTGCCAAACTAAAATCATCATAATTTGTAGAATATGCATATCTATCTGACAAGTATATGGTCTCTACCTTGTGAGTATCCAATAGTCTTCCTACATAGCGGGTCCCTTCATGACTAATTGAAACTCCGTACTCATGTGTGCGGAGTTTGAATTTATTCCAGAAGAATACTGAAACACTTGGTCATTTGATTTACTGGATGTTCTAGGCCGGAGAAGTCTGAGCTGAAGAGGTCCATGGACTGGTCTATGGGACTGAAATATAGGGTTAGGGGTCTGCACGAACCTTGCGTTGCCCGTGTCGCCGCCAAACCTAACAAAGAAAAGAAGCAAAAGAAAGAGGTAGTATAAACGATGTACCTTCGTTCCTCAGGCATCGTAAAGAAAAGAAGAAGAAAGAAGAGGAAGAGGAAGAGAAAAAAATATAACCTGCTGAGGCAGCCAGAATGCACCGTCGAAGAGAAGGGGGTGCTGATACGCTGGACTCTAGTCAAATTCAGCCACCAGAGACAGCGGAGAGCCTTTATTGCATCCAGAGTGGAGAGACAGAGAGGATATGACTATGCGTCATAACTCTCTGCCTCTACCGGTGAGACCTAAGAATTCAGACAATGTTTGATTCAGCGAGAGAGAAGAGAGTAGAGAGAGGAAGGGAGGGAGGCAGAGTGATCTTATCTAACACATCAGCCTCATGCTGTCTCACCGGAAATAGACTGTGGCGAGCGTGGAGTCGTGCGAATGGCCCCGAGTGGCAAGCACATTTTCTTTGTTGTGAAGGAGGGGCCCTCCATCGTTCTGATGAGCATGCACCAAAAGCGGATCAAGAAACTGATATTTTTTGGACGCAAAAACAGAAGGACATACAAAACGTCAGCACAAATGTACATAACACCACAAGTCCACACAGACACAATCATAACACAAGAGATTCTGAGGTCCACATACAGACTGTATCACCCGAACGATGCTTCTGGGAGAACTCGAAAGAAATATCGAACACCGTGGAGAGAGAATATGCGTCCGCCATCAGGGAGACCTTCAGCAAGCAACTGTGGAGGATCATGTTAGCAGACACAGGCTGCACGTGAATGCGACTCACTGATCACATTAATCTCAACCGGATACATATCGCCGTGAAAGGAATCGAACACATGTTCATCGAATATATGTGCGCTACCGAAGGTTTCGACAGTAGAGCAGATCTGGGTGAAGAATATCTCTGAATGACGAAGAGTGAGATTGAGAAAAGGTAATAAAAGACAGAGAAGGACATACCTTGAAGGGCGTTAAGCCCGACCACATCGTATTCAGCGTCTATACCTCGGTGCATGAAAGGGTAACTGGGCTCGAAGTTGTCCCTTCCATCAAAGTTGTCCCTTCCATGGACTACCCTGGCGCAGAAGACAGCATATCCTTCCTACTCCCGATGGTAGAAGTGCCGCCCGTAGCCATTGATCCTTCCTGGGCCTTCCTTGGTGAAGAAGACGTCATAATCGTATACGGTGATCACGGGGCCAGGGCCGGTGGTGGGCGCTGCTCTGAAGGTGACCTGGCAGCTGAGGAGATCGTCCGCAGAGCACCGGAGGCATTGAGTGATGTTCGAGGGTATGTAATAACCTGCTTCCTCGACCAGGTCAATAGCCCCGTTCAAAGTTGGCTGGCTTCCCAGCTAGCCAGGTCGGCGAGGTCAGCCACAGCCAGCTGGCAAGTGGTGCGTGATCTTACATAAGCCGATGCGCGTCGTTCTTTGTCACGGTCGAACTCGAACGCTGCTCGCAGAGGCAGTTTACACTCGTTGTGCACCATGGGGAGACACACAACGTTCCGCGATGAAGTACTTGAGGCTTATATGGTTATCATAGCTGTGAAACTCTCAGACATCATCGCTATCCAAGCTATTCTCACTGCTCGCTATTTCAATCCTCTTCCTCCTGTATACAAACAAGGCAACCTTTATCTTGCCTGGGAGTACATGTCAGATCTAGCACACCACCCTCGCTTTGTCAATATGCTACGGGTTACTCCTCATGTCTTTACAATAATTCTTCATCTTATCGAGGATCATCCTGTTTTTCACAACAACTCCAACAGCCCGCAGGCACCAGTGCAAGTACATCACTGTTATGCTCTATCGCATGGGAAGATATGGAAATGGGGCATCTGTCGAGGACATTGCAAAGATTGCAGGTATCTCAGAGGGCTCAGTGGAGCATTATACCGATCATACACAGGAGGCGCTGATGTCTTTGCACCACATATTTATACGTCCATTGACAGATGCAGAGAAGGAGATAGAGAAGCATTGGATTAAGGAGCAGCTGGGTTTCAACGGATCATCTTGGAGAGAAGGATGGATTATGTATGATGGCACCATCATAGTTCTGTTGGTTCGACCAGGCCGTGATGGTGCATCATATTATACTCATAAATGTAACTATGAGCTGAATTGTCAGGTCTGTCTCTATTCCTCCATTCAATTCATGTTGATCTTCTTCTAAATTTCTTGACCGTGAATCCAACTAATGTGACTTTCCGCCACAGATCGGAAATGTGCCCTCAAATCTCCGCATCGGAGACTACTGCGTTGGCAATACTGGCGCAACTCATGATTCAACAGCCTTCGAGGAGACCACTGCTTGGTCAGATCCAGATTGGTTCTTCTCAGGTGACGAATTTGCATGGGGTGATTCTGCTTGTACCATCAACTGGCGTACCATTCCCGTTCATAAACGACCCGCTGCTTTTGATCGTGACAATGCTTTCTTTGATAAAATTGTCTCTCGTCTTCGTGTACGCTCTGAGCATTGTATGGGAGCATTGAAGGGACGGTGGCAGTCCCTGCGTGGTCTTTGTGTTCCTATCAACACACAGGAAGATCATTATAATGCTTGTAGATGGGTTTTGTGCTGTGTACTCCTTCATAATGCTGTCTTGGAGATTGATGGGTGGGCTGCAGGTGCTCATTTCTCAGGATTACATACACGGGCTGAGGAGGTTGAGGATAGAGGCCAGAGGGATGCACCGGTGGATTACGAGGATGATGAGGATGAGTCAAGGTGGCGTCAGCTTGTTCAAGAGATTGCAATTACGAGGGATATAGGACTTATACAATAAATTGACTAACACACACTCTTACATTAATGCATTATAAATATAGGCATTGTGAGCAAAGGAGTGCAAGTAAGAAGCATGAGAATACTGTCTTACTGAACCTCTGAACAAAGATATTGTTGTAAAATAAAAACCAAGGATCCCCACCTATTCTAGAATTAATGTAGCTATAAAACATACATATGTAGAATCTGAGTTTGCATTCCTTAAGCTGAGCTATAGGATTCATGACCTGTAGCATTTTTGGGGGAATTGTTAAGGATGACCTTCAGCAGAATGTTTCCTATGAAATGCCAAAATTGATAAAAACTTTGTAACGGTACAGCAAGAAGGCAGAGGCAAGAAACAGAAACAACTACTATGGCAAGATGACAACACAATGATGACAACACAACGGGAATATGGGTATAAAGAGAGTCACCACAAAATCAAACCTAGGCAGACACACATTAAGAACCAACTCCAAGACCATCATCCATACCCTCAGGCTGTACCAAAGAGCCACAACCTATATCACGCTCCAACTGCGCCGGATCCCAAGATGCTGAACTAGTGATATGAGGGCAGGAATGTGTTTTGGGAAGTAGACATGCATATCTCACTTCTACAATCCTGACCACCAGTTTCACTAACAAATGAGTATGATAGCTATTCACCCAGAATCTTTTAGATCTGAACTTGGGCACACCCATAGATGATATCCTAGGTCTCAGACAAGTTTTCAGGCCTCCCAAATAATTGGGATATACAAAACTTGATGAGACACCTCAGAAAAACACCCTAAAACCGAATATATTCATCTCTGGCTGTGTATGCAGGTTGTTCTGAGACAGTTCATGTATCCAGAAATGTTATAATATGTTATAAAAGTACTCATACCAATATCCAGAGGATTACACGGTGATTTGGCGGATATATATTCGAAATATACCCTGTTTTCCTGCTCACCCTCATAGAACATGTTCCACACAAGTTGTAGGTGTCTTTATCAGCTCATGAACCACTTCATCCTCTTTCTATATGTTTTATATGATTTAACATGAAGCCACATGAGCTAAAAACGATCTAAATTCAGCCCATAATAATATCCAGTGGCACTGTGGCCCAGAAACACCCCTCCCTGTCCCTATACTCACAGATAGACATTCTCATTGGTTTAGCTCCATGATAAATTCACCCAGGAGTATATCTACATTATCCAGGTATCTCCCAGACAATATAGACCATGTATACATCCAAGATATGGCCCAGATCCATGTGCTCCTCCTCCCCCCTCACTTTCTCAGTGTACTATAGGCCCATATGGCCAAATATTATTGTTTGGATGGCTGATACATGCTCTATGAATGATAGGACACTCATTCCACCTAAAAGGAACGGTATCCAACCACTAAATAATGTATCCTGCATAGCTGACCTCCAACCCTGAATATCCCCCACTTGTTTTTGCCATTTCTTAGGAACGTATAGACGGATTTGTCTGAATCTGAAATATGTTTATTATGTACATTTATACTTATTTATCAAAGCCAAAGAGCCATAGAAATCGACCTCCTTAATGTTGCCAACTTTGGGCCATATTTTACTCTTTTATCAGCTAATTCCATCAAAACAACACCTACCCCTGCAATTCATTCACTCTGAATTACAAAACTCACAAAGTTACCAAAACACCCCCAGATCACCCCATTTTCCCTACCAATCCACCCCCATAGTACCTGATATACCAATCCTAGCATTCCTGCTATTATTTCCGTTTTTTTCCGTATTTTTATCGTCCATCATCCTATCCTTATTCACCTATCTATCTGCCCTAGCCCCAGAGCCCATGCCTAGCCCTATATATCCTCCCTATACCCTGCATACAGCTATCCTAGCCCTAGTGCACAATTACCCCCCATTTTCCTACTCTATCCTACCTCCTACCCCATCCACTACCCATCCCTAAACCACCCCCCTACCCCAGGGCCACACCCCATACCTACCCACCCACTTTTTCACGCATTTTTTGCCTATTTTTCCGGCCAGAATATCCACCAGCACTACTGCTCTTTAATAAAGAGCCCTTATTAGCATGGGCCAGTAGGATGATGAGCTCTCTGCAAAGAGTCCCAGTCTTACTATAGGCACTCTTTATAAACAGGCTACAGCTACGCCTGGGTGGAAGAGAACTAGATCCCAGTGAAGGTGTGGACGACTGATCGTGAGTGGAATCAGTGAGAGAATTTCATGAAGAGTCTCATGACGATAGGGCTCACCAGGCTTTGGAGGTTCGGCAGCGGACTCTGGAGGACGAATGGGATATGGCGTGTTTAGCCATCAAGTGGGATGTATGTGCGACACAGAAAGTGTCGATGCGACTTACTACGAGATGGGCCTGGTGGATGGTCAGGAATCGATCGGAAGACATGTCACGGAGAAGGGGTTGTGAAGCTCACCTTTCGTGTAGACTGACTTGGCGGCGTAAAGTCTTTGACGAGGAGCGGATGTGGACATGGCCGGCGTGGGCGTGGTGGGCTGCATGGTTTCGGGTACTGCGTAGGATGGAGGGTGAAGAGGAATGGCCGTAAACTATTGAGGTTTATAACGGTGAGCGATTTTGAAGTGGCGTGATAGGGGAGATCACGCACCTGAAGTCTCCGTGTCAGAGTGACATTAAATGAAAATCACCCACCTTGAGGTTGCAGGCATAGACCGCCCAAGTTCAGGCCAGGTCAATAGAGTCGGATTTCGCGTGGGATGAACAGCAGGGGTCTCATGAGCGATAGCTGGAGCCATGAAGGCCTGAATAAGGCCTCATGGTGAAGTATGAGAAGATCCACTAAATTGAAAAGTAAAGTGTGACACCATGGGGGCAGATATGAACAGACGGGTTCGGATTCTGAGCGTGAACGAGGATGCAAGGACGGAAAGAACAGTGAAGTCAGACGAGTTCCAGTGGCGTAGAAATGAGGGAGGAGGAGGAGCCCACCACCAAAGAGAGGATAGGAGAAAGGCCTCCTAACTCTCTTTGATGATGGGCACAAACTAGATGAGAGGAGATGAGAGGAAGTGAGAACCACCGAGTGGACCAAATCGGCAGTGATTTAACATTTCCACGCCACCCTGAAAAGGCAGTGGGTGATGTGTGGTGCGTTTCATGGTGCTTGAAGAGGGAGAGACGTGATAAGGGAGGGTGAAAGGTAAAATGTGATATTGTAGATATATTCTGAGGGGTGTAGATAGACGACGTGGACACGTCACAATATTTTCTCAACCACTCATCCATGTTTTCAAACCACTCAGAGCTTCACATATCATTGTCATGACCTTCCATCATTTCCATCCCTTTTCCATTATTTCCTGATGGGTGCCACAGTTGGGCCACACTTTTCCGAGTTTCTGTGCCACTGTGGCCTGGGTTTGGTTGTATTTGGTTCTGGCTAGTATATAAACCTAACTATGTCCTGTTTTGTACTCTAGTCTTGAGATCATCAATCTCCCCCCTATACAATCTTTTTCTCGCCCTTGGTGTGTGTTTTTGAGTGAGAGATTGCCTGCCAGCAACCCCTCTTTGTAGGACATGGTTATTACGATGCCTGAGGAACGAAGGTACATCGTTTATACTACCTCTTTCTTTTGCTTCTTTTCTTTGTTAGGTTTGGCGGCGACACGGGCAACGCAAGGTTCGTGCAGACCCCTAACCCTATATTTCAGTCCCATAGACCAGTCCATGGACCTCTTCAGCTCAGACTTCTCCGGCCTAGAACATCCAGTAAATCAAATGACCAAGTGTTTCAGTATTCTTCTGGAATAAATTCAAACTCCGCACACATGAGTACGGAGTTTCAATTAGTCATGAAGGGACCCGCTATGTAGGAAGACTATTGGATACTCACAAGGTAGAGACCATATACTTGTCAGATAGATATGCATATTCTACAAATTATGATGATTTTAGTTTGGCAGATTGATTTGATTTAATGTGTGCACAGCTTAATGTTGGAAAAGGGGTCCAGTTTAGCGTATTTGATGATTTATGGAACTGGTGACATCAATGTTATGGGCACCAGATATGACT